AATTTAATCTACTGGAACCGCTAATTGGGTGAAGCCTTCTGCCTCCAGTGACGCCCATTTGTCTCTGTCTTCAGCAACTTTTCTCCAGTTTGGTCCAGCTATCGCTTTAATGTCGTCTTCTCATCGTGTATCTTTTGTTCTTTTGCCTAGTGGGCCATTCCAGAAAGTTACTTTTTTGGTCCATCTATGGTCAGTTAGCCGCCCACTTCAATTTATTTTTTTTTGCGTAGCTTAAAGCGTTTGTTGCTTATATTATTATCAATATAATACCTTGAAAATATATATAATATAATATCATAATTGGGTCATTATACGAAGTACAAAAAAAACTGTTCTTTGGTGATGTTTAACTATTTATAAGTTATTTCAAAAGCTGAAAAAATCTATTTAGTACATTATTGTGACTATTTACCAAAAACATAACAAATTCAACCATACCTTATCTGCTAATTTGTAAAAAAAAATCAAAATAGAAGCGTGGTCATACTCCGTGAACTGTTCTAAACACATTTTTCGTCAGAAAAGCTGGGAAAAAAGTTATATTACACACTTGAATTAAAACGAACTCACAGTATCTGTTTTCACACATCCCAATAAACATCAGAACATAGTAGTTTATTTTTTTTAATATATTAAAATTTATAGCCATTATACAAGTGTTATAAAAATTTAAATCAATACCGTGAACTACTATTTTCACCCAACAAACAATTTTAGAGAACTGAATTACTGCTCTTATTACCTGGTTACACTGCTTTTTGCTGTTAGTTCAGTTGTGTGTACTAACCAACAAGGAGGTTATGTACTGTGAAGTTTTGTTAAAAAAATATATGTAATATACGTTTCTGGTCAAGTTTGGCCCGTCAGTTCGGTTAGGGATTTTTTTTATATGTAGTAACGTATTTACTTTGCCACCATAGCTTATAATTAATGCCATGGGGACTTATTTTGGTTGTAGTTATAAATTAATATGTAACTTTTAAAACCACGACGTAGCATGATTTTAATAATGATTCGTCAATCCCGTGATCGTCATTACTGTGAACTTGTTGTTCACAGAACTTGTATTTTTTCGATGTTTAATACAAACACTTTTGTATGGCATTATTCAGAGTCTGGTCATGGAAAAGGACCCCAGACGGTGTAGGTGGCTACTTAAAAAGACATAATGACCGACGAGTGGTTTTTAGGAATGACATTCCAGACCATCAAACTTTGATATTATTTTTTGGAAAAAAATGACCTCTTGGTTAGGTTAATGCCAATAAATGATATATGTATTATTAGGCCAATAGAGAACATCTTCTTTTTCAGAATAGCTTTACAAAACCTATCAAGGCACGATGAAAGTTCATCAAATTGTTTAGGCAAAAGAAAACCCAGATTATCTTCAAGCCAGGCGACTGAGTTGTTTGGGATGTCATTCAGACATCACTTGTCGTCATTTTAGGCTGGAAAAAATGTAAGCACCAATACAATTATTACATGCAACACAGAAAATGAGCCCCCTATACCATCATGCTCTAAATTACGTGTCGATGAAATTTATTCTGATATGTAAAACAAAATTAGGCCTCTGAGACAAAACAGGGTAAATTTTTTGGCTGTTGAATATACTCAGAACATTATAATAAGAGAATTCGCACATTTTTATCATATAATGACTTCAGTGATTCTTATAATTTAGTATCACAGAAATGACGTTCCTACTAAATATCATTTCTGTGGACATGAATGTTTGATTTTTTATTATTGTCTTTTAAAATTATTGATCAAAATAATGTTTCATAATTTATGTTATCGTGGTTTAATGGTTTTCGGTAGAACATTTATTATTATCATAACTGTATTAATTCTTAAGTTATGATCACTTAGATCATTTCAGTGAAAACGTGCGTCAATTCTGTGAGACTTAAAAAATGATTTTTCATGTTTTTACGTATTAAACGTAATGAAAATTCTGTTTTATGTTGTGATTACGGTATTTCATTATATTTTGCAAAAAATAAATGTTTGAAACCCAAAAAATCCTCACTTTAATTTTTGTGATTTAAAAAAGGCCATTTCGTATAATGACCCAATTCAGCGCTGTTAAGTTTTTTTCGCCTACTTTTCTCCACAGCTAAAAATGGCCATAGCAGAGGGTAGGGAAAAGATTTGGACGATTCAAAAGAGTGGTATTACCTATGCCTTCAATTTAAATTTTAAGGTTAAGTAGGAGTAGGAGGTTAGTGCAGCGGATTCAGAATGCCTGCTGTCGTTTCTGTTTTGATGTCCCACCACATACTCATATATCACCTTTTATAAACAGGGCTTCGATATTGAATATGGAATTGCGTAGGCGTTTACATCTAGCCGTGTTAATGTTTAACATTATGAAATTCAAGAGTCCAAGTTATTTATTTGAGAAATTAAAATTCCCTACTGCGGCACTACGTTATAACGGCAACAGACAACCAAGATAGGCAAAGCCACCTTTATCGACACAGAATCATAAAACGCAGGCGTTTAAGGGTAGTTTCCGCTATCAGGCGACCAGGCGCTGGAACAACATTCCACCTCCATTAAGGAGAATCATATTTCGCCAAACATTTAAAAAAACATTTAAAATTAATATTATTGGAAATGCAAAGGTTAAGAATAACCACATATTATGGTCGTATGGTAGCGGTTTCTGCCGCTTTCTAATAGGTATGTCACAATTTGTGTCTAAATGCTGATGGGTAAATATTAATTCAATATTAATCTAAATACTAAAAAAGGTAATAATAACAGTAATAATAAATAATTTTTGGTGATAGATAATAACATATAATGCGATTCAAATAAGAATAGGAAAACCAATGACCTCCATCTGTCAAATGTCGCTTGAAAAGTACGGTTTGCAAAAAAAACTTGGAACCCTTTTTTTAGCACTCAGCTAATTCTAGAATAAAAAGCAAACATTTGTAAACGAACAAAAACAAATATTGATAATTAATATTTTTTGATATTTTCTTTTCATTTATTGAGCTTTGGCTATGACTGGTTGACAACTTAAATCGTGAACCAAATGTCACTTTAAGTTGCGTTCATAAACTCGATTTAAAACTTTCATTTTCATAAAAGATACATGTTTGTATGTAACCTAGTAATAGTGCATGATTATTCATAACTACTCCGCGGTAATGCAGAGATGTGCGGAATTGAAGAGCTAGGTTCGGATTAATGTCTTTTCTCACACAGTCTTAATAAATAAATATTATCAAAAATCGGTTGTTTATTTTCCTCAATCTTAGTAAATAAAATTTATTAAAAAATCTGATGTTTTTTCTCACTTAATCTTAGCAAATAAGTTTTATTAGATAAAACTTTTTTTTTGCTAACTCTACCGTTTGGTTTGAATTGATAGCTATGGTGTCACAATATGGTGCCCAGCCGCTCCTATTCTTAGTTGAATTGCATTATATATAGTTTTTATCTTTCACTTATCTTAGTTATATTAACAATCTCTTATCTATTAGACAAGTCCGTCCGTCTGTCTGTGGTGCTGTTTCAGCGGCCAAACCGTAAGAGATAGATAAAGAGAAAGTTATAAGTTAAGAATAGTCTGATAAGACTACAAACCGGATTTGAGTAACGTAGCACTTCCGGTTTTCGAGAAATTACGAATTTCAAACGAAACCACACAAAATCTCCGAAGTTCTCAATTAATTAAATACATTTTTTTTTTTGAAGTTATACTTCTTTAGGCGCGTTATGAAAAAATGATGAGAGTGAAATTTTTCGCATCGCTCTAGCGACCAACTTCATGCGTTACTTTGTGTTTACCGCAGCACATTAAGAAAATCTACCAACAAAATATAAATAGAATCTCTATTTAGTGGGTGCTAACGACTGCATTGTGAAGGCCTATCAAAAGTATTTATTAATCTGGAACAACGGAACCAAAGCGCGATTCAGGAGACTACAGCGCCATCTCTTGACCATTGGTGTAGTAGAACCAAAAACCACATCTTTATTTTTTGTAATAAAGTAACAGTTATAGGTATTCATATTTATAATATTTATCCGCATGTTTCTAGTTTGTATATTCGGAATGCGTGTTTGAGTTTCATACAAGTGCAAATCACATATGTTCTAATAAATTATATTCAGTAGCGATTTTAATTGAATATTTTGATTATTTATTTATTTTTTCAAATTAAAACTGAAGTTTATTGACTGTGTCCTTTTCCAGACTTTTTATTAATTTATTGTAATTAATTATTTGCATGCAATTAAAAACTAATTTTAAACGATGCCAAAGAAGGATAACTTCTCACGCGCCTACATAAGTACACGCACCCATTTTTTTAAATCAGGTTTTGGTGAACATTTGGTTCACTGGTTTGCTAGTAATAATATAATAATCTATTTGAATTAATCACGTCAGTGTCGTTTCACGTTACGCGCTTTCAAGGCAAAACTGAAAACCAGTGCTTTGCTCTCAGGTATCGCTGAGTTTTTGCCTTTTTCTATCGTTGCGGCATACGGTTACATATTTAATAATTAATTCTCCTATTTGTTAACTTAAATTTGTGTGCTGTACTGATGGGATTAAACTATCTATCCAATAAAGAAATTATGACTTTCTTATTACACTTACCGTCTTATAACAAAACGTCGACTCTAAAACTGACGCTGTTACTTTTCTTTGCTAAAAAGAAGACAGAGACAACATTAGATTAAAGCCAAGTCTTACTTTAGTCCGCGTTTTGGAATAAGGCAGTTAGTTTTTAAGTGAAAAAGATTGTGAATAATACTAGAAAGAAAGAAATAATTTATTAACCAACAAACAAAGCATAAATAAAACAAAAAAACAGAATAAGGTCAACTACGTCCCTGCCTCAGCAACAATGCCACAACGACACTAAGTCCGCTGCTGCGTTGATATTCTTGCAGGGTCTAAGCTTGACGTGAATAAAAGTAGTTATAAAAACAAAAAACAAAAAATACTAATTATAATCTTTTATTGACAGGCGCAACGGACAAAGACACAGACGAGGAGGAGGGCACGGCCGGTGGCGCCGCCCCCACCGACGACCCCGAGGATGACACAGACCAGAACAAACATATCCTGCCTCTATCGGCTCATCCACCTACCATGTGAGTAGATGCTCCAGTTTGTACCTCATTCGACCACGTTATGATATTTGAAATCTTGTATTCCATCAAGAACATTCTACTGCTACTGGTTACTTTTTCCATAACCAGTGCCGTCTTTGAACTATTGGAGGCCCTGGGCATATTAGGATAATGGGGCTCCTATGACTTCCGTTTGGTGATTTAACAGGAACTAAGGACTTTGTATTTGATCTGAGGGCAAAGTGCCCACTGGGAAAGACGGGTCTGTCCATAACATTATAGTCCAGGAATTTTAGCACCAAAAATCGGTCCGCTCTGCATAAAATCCTTCTACGTGATTTTTTGATTGGATTATATCAGAGGGTGCCCCCTAAGTATAAAACCGAGTTTCTGTCGCCCGAAACCGCGAGCGTTAGCCGCCATCTTGGAAACCGTTTTTTGCATATATCTCGGAAACGGTAAGTTTTACGTTAAAAACCGAAGAGATCTTTTTTGTAGAGAACAAAATTTCCCATCTTTTTTATACCAAACTTTTCCCCCTATTGTTGATATTTTCCGATATATTGAAGTAAAAAAACCAAATTTTTTGATTTTGTAAAGTATCTCAATAATTTTTGGAAATACGAAAAAAATGATTGAATTAAAGTTGGAGAGCATGAAATTTTCTACAAATTTTGTATAAAACTTTTTCTTGCAAAATGATTAGTTGCTGAGTTCCAGCTGAATAAAAATTGTCACCAGGAATCGAAAATCAGCGATGAGCGGTAATACGTTACTCTGGCATGCAAACAAAAAAGTATAATCGAAAAATTTTATCATGAAGACGGTAACGATTTTATTTATCGTGAAAAGGAGGGAAATGAAAGGTTAAAAAGGAAATTTTGCACAATAAAAATATTTTAACGAATTATTGGAAAAAGGAATGAAAATTTATTCATGTATCCAAATTCATTATCATTTGTGCGATATAAGTCGCTGTTTACAAATCAGGATCGCAGAATATTAATTTAATAAATTGTATTTGATAAATTTTATTCGTCGATGTTAGATTTATAAAATTTTTCGTTGTTTACAACCGGAAGGATTTTATTAATTTTACGATTTTTTTTTTCATTTTAACGGCGTTCCGACTTAAATTACTTACCTTCTGTAAAACAATACTTTACGCGGAGACATCGAATTTACTTATACTTTTTGTTTGCATGCGAGAGTAACGTATTGCCACTTACCGCTGATTTTCATGATCTTTTATTGCGCTAGAACTCAGCAACTAATCATTTTGCAAGAAAAAGTTTTACACAAAATTTGTAGAAAATTTCATGCTCTCCAACTTTAATTCAAACATTTTTTTCGTATCTCCAAAAATTATTGAGTTACTTTACAAAAACAAAAAATTTAGTTATAATTTTTATTATTTTTAAAGCATGTAACTGCTTGATGTTTAATCTAAAGAAAATATAACTAGAAAAAATTCCACGCGGACCAGGCAGCAGACGGGACTCGAACCCGCATACGGTACCAGGTAATAGGTACCTATTAGCTAGGTCAGTGCATTCGCCCGGATTGCGAAGGGTGCGGGTTCGAGTCTCGTCTGCTGCCTGGTCCGCGTGGATTTTTTTCTAGTTATATTTTCTTTTGGTTTTTTTACTTCAATATATCGGAAAATATCAACAATAGGGGGAAAAGTTTGGTATAAAAGAGATGGGAAATTTTGTTCTCTACAAAAAAGATCTCTTCGGTTTTTAACGTAAAACTTACCGTGTCCGAGATATATGCAAAAAAACGGTTTCCAAGATGGCGGCTAACGCTCGCAGTTTCGGGCGACAGAAACTCGGTTTTATACTTGGGGGGCACCCTCCGACATAATCCAATCGAAAAATAACGTAGAAGGATTTTATGCAGAGCGGACATCTAAAAATCTTGGACTATTACTGCTGTGATAAAAGGTTACATGATTAAATGCAAGGGCATGTCAGGATAAACAGATTTATAATTAGAAAAACTTTCCATAGTAATCCAAATTGTTAAAAGTTGCTTCCTCTTTTTCAGTGAAGTGTCTGCCAGTCAGCAGGACTTCTTTAAGATGTTGGACGAAAAAATTGAAAAGGTATTTACTCTAGTAATTCTTGATATCTTGAACAAATAGGTTTTCATGAATACTACAACTAATTCTAAATTTTATTTGTTTCAGGGCAAAGATTACGACTCATCGAGCGAGACTGAAATACGTATAGAACATGAACGTCGGAAGATATTAATAGATCAATGGCGGTCAGCCTCTCAATCAACACAATCATCACAATCACAGCCCAGTCCTCCTACACCCGCTAGAAGAAGGGTGCCGCGACCAGTGCCACAACCCCCTGAAAGACAAAGCAGTCCTGGTTCAGGTAGAAGATGTTACAGACAATCGCATGTCGCAGAAGGCCTGTCTCCACCGCCACCTAGAAGATCTCACAGCGCTCAATCCCACCATCAACCCGAATCACGGCAAGTCAATGGCGACAACTGGCACGATCCAAACAAGTCTCCAGTCAAGAGACCACATAGTGCCGGAGCCAATTGGAAAAACAATCCCAAAGTAGCCCCTTATAATCAAAAACCAAAGAAGAACGAAGCCAATGAAAGCCAAAGAGCAAACCAAAAAGACGTAGACGTGACCGGTTCTGGTCAAGATATTTCCCAAATCACATTTAACCCAACATTCCAAACTCACAGTCCCGCCCACTCGGCGAAGTCACAACAGCAGCCTTATATAGCACAAATTATAAGTTACCCAATGTCGCAACAAGTAACACCGCCGTCAACTCCAAAATATATAGCACCACCAGAGGAGTACCAAGACCCACAAAACAACGTCACCGATAATAAATACGTTAACAATCAGAAACAAACGACGCCTGTTACTCAACCCAACTCACAGTCTCACATATACTATATCCACGGTAATGCAACTACCACCCAGGTGAACCAAGATCTAGCGCAACAAAGGCAGCAGACTGCTATACACTTACAGCAGTACGTTGCAATGAAGCAAGCTCAGCAACAGATGTTTACATACTTCCAAAGAAGCCCTCATTCGGTGTATCCCAATGTCGATTATAGCCAAGTTCCAAACCCCCATAGAATTTATGAAGGTGCTGAAGAATTTGCGCCTCCTTACAGTCATCCAGCAGTGAGAGCGCACAGTGCGCCGACACCAGTGGGCGTGGTCCGACCGATGCCAATGGCTCCGGGCTTTAATACCATGGCAGATGGTTCGCACTTGATTCAAATGCCTATGTGGTCGCATATGCCTCCTGTGGTATCAACTATGGGGCCTTGGGTGCCTGGGCAAGTTCCGCCCGAAATGCAGTACTACCCTCAGTCACAATTTGTGCCTATGTACCGTCCGAACTCTGCGGGATCCGCCGGGACTCTGACAAGGTACCAGAAAAAAGATAACGATAACGAGGTTAAGGGTAACGTGTGCCAAAGCATAAACCTAGTCAGACAGAAGCAGGTTGGTCAAATAGTTACAATACCAGGTCAGGAGCTGACGATTTGCAACAGCACGAGCGACAGCCCCAGTCCAGCTTCTGTCAGCACCGACAGCGGGGTTTCCCCGGGGAATAGTGTTCCCAGTTCGAAAAATTCAGTGTTCAGCACACCCACCAGCGGAGCTGACTCGTTCAGCAGCAATCTAGACACTAAAAATAAGAAAAACAAATCGGTTCCATTCGCCACTAGGTCACTCAAGAATTCGAAAAGTCTCGACTCTTAGTAAAAAGTTTGTAATTATGTAGATTTTCTAAGTGTACGTGTAGCGTCTAGTGACGGAACTATGTATAGTGAAATTAGATTCCAAAGTGCTTATTATCTTCGTCTTAATGTGATTGGAGCGATAATTTTTTTTATTGATTGGTGTTAAAAGAGCAGTGTAGTACGAATACAATACGAATAAAATAATGCTGTCTATACATTACAAATCACTGTATTATACCGAATTTAACGACAGTTGAAAGTGTTGCGATCTTTTAATGTTTAATTTGTCTTGAAATGTTGTAAAAGTTATAAATAATATTTTAGTATCATTGTAATATTTAATTTAGAAACGGGTATTTTTTCGTATATTTTATACTCCGGAAGTGGTTTTAATCAATTCTATCTAAATGAATGTTTAGATAAAGACTTAATAAATAAAAAATAATTGTACTTTCAAGTACTGAAGATGCATTTTAAAATATCCAATAATAATTATTAATTACTGAACTCCTGCTGTTTTATTTAAATGAGAAGCTCTGTGAATTGCCGTAGATACTTACATAATAGGACCGCCATAGTCGGTTCGGCAGTATTTATTGAACAACAAAGCCGACCCGTAGTAATTACTGCCGAACATTCATTTACACATATTCGATTTTATGTTTATTTACGTTACCCAATTTTAAGGCTTAAGTGTGTTAGTCTTATTGATATTTTATGTTTAAATAAACACTCAAATGTTTAATTACACATTTGAATCAGAATAAATGAACTAGGCAAGTCTATCTACCTACTTACCTAAATGAAAAACTCGAATTTGGAGGAAGATATTAAAGTTATTACGTTTTTTATAAAAACCTAAATTCCATAAAAGTGTTGTTTTACGAGTACTTTTCACGTTATGTTTATTCTTGATTCTAAAGGTGAACGCAGACATGGTCGCACCGCAGTCTTCGCATTCGATTTTTTTATATGAAGTTCTATGCAACCTCGCACACCCGCCCGCGTCGCAGTCGCCGCAGTCCCTGAAATGACCGCCGCAGCGAACGCTGCGGCTGATGACGTCATACGCATCCACGGCTTTTCTTTTTCCTCTAATAATTAACAACTGACAACAAATTGTTCGTCAAGAGCCATGCTTTCATACACGCCCACTCTTAATTTATATTACAAACTGAATGAAAGAAATCAAGTGCGATGCGTGCGGCGACGGAAACGACTGCAGTAACCGCGGTGCGGATAGATGTGCGAGGCCATTAACAAAGAGCGATGACTGCGGGGACTGCGGAGACTGCGGTGCGGCCAAGTCTGCGTTCACCTTAAATCGTAAAATTAATCCAAGTATAAATGCTACTCAACTGAATAAAACCTACCTAGGTGGTTATCTACGAGTATCATTAATGTAAACATTCTACGAAAATGGATCGTTACAGGACTACAACTATTATTTAGTATAAACGTGGTAATGTATTAACTTGTTTCGTGACAGCTTCGGGCGACGTACTATAAACACCTGAAAAAAAGGGTTACCATTTAGGAATTTCAAAGGACCTGACAAAAATCCTGACATTTCGAAAAATGGTACCATTACTCATTTAGTTATAATGGTATGGTATTTAAATCGATATGTACTTTTATTATTCATATTCAATGTAATTTAAAAAATTCAGACAAATAGGGTATTTGACAAGTTTTAGAAAACGATCTCACGTTATTGACTTATGTTTATGGAGTCCGTAAAAAGTGGTTATTCATCATTCTGTTGTGTATTTCAGTAAAAATAACCAAATCAAAAACTCCATTTTCAAGTTGCCGCGAAAATGTTTTTCTGGACAATATGGCGTCTTACTAGTGTGTGACGTCACACGACTGTTATTAAAACGTCAAACGATACAACGTAATGTCACTTTAACCGGAAGTTTACGTGCGTGTGACGTCATTTTGGGCTCCGCCAATCCCAATCGTTTTGGCTCGCGTAATAGATAAGTAAAGTATTATCTTTTTCGTGGGTTTTTAGTAAAATAATGAATATTTTGTTTTTAAAAATAGTAAAAACCCCTGCCAATATTCATTCTAAACACAGATGCTAACAATTGGCACTTTATTTTTAATACTGTCAAATACCCTATTTAAAGATCCCTCCAAAGTCCGTATTATAGTCTAAAAGTCCATAATAAGGACATTAATCCGGACGGATGGTAACCCTATGTATGTACGACATGTTACAAGGAAAGGTAAATGACACCAAATTATAGCACAATTTACGTAAAACCGATTTTTTATATTGTGCTTATAGGTAGGTACCTTCCTACGATAACACTCGAACTCGAATAAATAATGTAATTGATGATATTCTACTCGTAAATGTCGGGGCAAAGGTTGTTGTCGGTCAACTAGAGCCACTCTAATTGCTATTCACTAATGCTACGGCCACACTGTCGCGGTACCGTGAACATTTTCAGTTTTCACGTCAAGTCCGGCCAAGCTATTCACATTTCAGAAGACGATCAGAATTGTGACAAGGTATTACTTGTTTTTTTTTTCTGAGGAGATCTATGGTCGAAGTGGTTAGTGCGTTCGGCTGTGATCGTTGAAGTTCAGCAACTTCCGCAGTGATCAGTCATAAGATGGGTGACCAAAAATTTACTATCTCGAGCTCCTCCCTGCTTCGGAAGGCACATTAAGCCGTTATTCTCGGCTGCATCTGCGGTCGCTAGCACCCACCACCATCCGCACTGGGCCCGCGTGGTGGGTCATGGCCAAATCTACCTATTCCATCCATGAGGAAGGCTTGTGCCCCTGCAGTGGAGACATTAATAAGTGATGATGATGATAATGATAGGGAATGATGATGATGATTTCTTGGTAAGATGCGTCGTGAAATCGGCAAATGTTTGCGATAGTGCAATAGTCTGGCCGTAGCATAACTGACGTAATCAGCCATTTCCGAAAATTAGGAGCTAGGAGCTTCATGATTTCATTATTCATTCTTTAATCTTTAAGGAAAGGATTCAAATTCTAAACGCTTCTTCCTCGTGGTCAAACTCTGTAGTCAAACTAGCGGAACTTTGAAATAGGTATCGATTTTATTACCATCGAATAAATTAAAAATTCAAAGAGTCTTCAAACCGTGTGCAACAAACAATTTGAATTGTTAAATAAAACTAGTTTGTAACGGGTTAATGCATGAAACTTTATTTATTTATTGACTTTCATTCCGACGAATCAGCCTGTAAAGGCTGCGAAACGTCAATAAATAAATAAAGTTTCGTGTATTAACCCGTTAAAAACTAGTTTTATTTAATGAGTGATGTACATGAAAACCTAAGAAACAGATAAATTAAATTGTATTTGTGAGTGAATATGACACGCGCGAGACAGCTCATATTGTACAATGAAGAGAGCCATTGTATAAGCTTTGATTGTACTGACAGCTAGGGCATGGGGGCATAATGGCCTTCGCTAGAAGTACTAGAATTATCACCCCTCCCCCCCTAGCATGTGCACCGCGATATGATACATAACTCGTTTACATCACGTTCAATTGCCAAATTACTATGCAGTTTGACAGTTACAAGCGATATAAAACGTGATTTATCGTAAATTTTGGTGCTCATGTTACGGGGACAGGGCATAACGTAGCACCTAGGTCCACTGCGGATTTATAACCGGCTATAGTAAAGATGACACAACCAGAATTGATGACTATTTCATCTATATAATATTAACTATTTAAATATAACAGGCTTGATAACTTCGAAGTTGTGAACTTTTGTTTCTTGTATTTGTGGTCACTTTAACCAATATTACATTTGAGGATCTCACGAACAAAACGGTATAATTATGTATCTGGTCAAAATACTTCTTTTTTACAGGTCGGAGGTTTTGAATTTCAACTCATTTTCAATCAAAACCGCCTTAAACAGTGTTAAAATTACAAAATTAAAAACCACGCCAAAAGCTCACTGGAGGAATGTCATTCAGCCCCTGTAAAATGAAATTTAACATTATTATATTTCTTTCTTAGGTTTTCACGCACATCACTCATTAAATAAAACTAGTTTTAACGGATTAAGTGCAGTGCACTGCAGTGTGTGAACATGCATTAGGGGGACCAAATCATTACATTATATTTGATAAATCACAGATCCTTGCGGCTGAGCAGCGATTCGTTCCTAGAATGATGCGCGAGGTTATTCAGATTAAAAAATATTCAAATTTCAATAGGGACGATGGTTGGTATGTACCACCGGCTTGGAAACCCATTATAACAAGTTTTGTGTGTGTTACTTATTTTGTTTAAAAGATGATATCAAAAATAAAAGAGGCATTCCTCAACTGACCATCAACGAGTTTAATTTACCAAAACTCTACAATCACTTAAAAACTAATAATAATAACTGATTATAGTTATATTCGTTTGTCCCAAAATAGATTGCGATTAAGTGTCGCCGCACAGGAGCCACCGCCCACAACCACAAAACGCCGCCACCGGCATATTTCATGTAGTTTTCACACATTTTATATGGACTCGCCACACACGGTACGCCGGTGGCCGTCACACGCTACAAATCGTCGATGCTCGCTTCTTGTGGCCCGCACCGGTCACTTAGTGCGCCGATACAAAACGCCGCCACACGTCACTCGCGCGATTTCCCACCCCCTCTCTCTCCCCCTCTGTGGCCCGTGTGCGTGGGCCACACGCCACACCACAAACGCCGCCACGAGAAGCTAGAAGCGGCTACTAAAATGGCTGAATCGCGCGACAGCGGCCGACTAAGGTAAGGGAGAGAGAGGTGGGGAATCGCGCGAGTGACGTGTGGCGGCGTTTTGTATCGGTGCATTAAGTGGCCGGTGCGGGTCACAAGAAGCGAGCAACGACGATTTGTAGCGTGTGGCGACCACCGTCGTACCGTGTTTGGCGAGTCCATATAAAATGTATGAAAACTACAAGAAATATGCCGGTGGCGGCGTTTGGTCGTGGTCGGTCGGTTGTGGTCGGTGGCCCGTGTGCGGCGACACTTAATCGCAATCTATTTTCGGACAAACGAATATTACTATAATCAGTTATTATTATTAGTTTTTAAGTGATGGTTGAGTTTCGGTAAATTAAACTCATTGATGGTCAGTTGAGGAATGTCTCTTTTATTTTTGAAATTATCTTATATACAAAATATTACATTAGTTAATTAACATTTAATTGGGTAGGTGAATAATTTAACGTTAGGAGTGTTGTGCGAGCGGGAGAGGACGGTTTGCGCCATTCGCCAAGAGGGAAGCGAATATTTCGCACGAAAGCCCTTTTCAGAGCTATGTAAACAAAGAATTTATTTCGGACAAATTCATTATTTCCGGGTCAGTGTTTCGTCATTTAAATAAACTAATTAAATTTTGTGTTGTGTTATATTATTATTTTAATTAGAAGTTTCGATCGAAATTTAATTTTTCGTTGAATTAGAGTAGGCCTCCTGATAAGTTAACTAGGTTGTTCTGTGGTTGAAAGATTTCTTATTCGCACCCCTTACGGGAGTTCTGTTTTGCAGTATCAACATACTAACTAATGCAATACTAAATTGCCAACAAAAACCTACTAATATTATAAATATGAAAGTTTGTATGTCACGCAAAAAGGGATGAACAGCTTTAGAGGAAATTTGGCACACATAATAGTTTATTCCCTGGATTGCTGAGACATTGGATACTATCCCGAAAACTCAAAATGACTCCTGACAGACTGACTCCAAAATTTAGTCGGTGGTCATATGGAACCGGGACCCTTTGTAATTAATAATTATTTTGAGGCGGCATTTGGAACCGAAGCTGGAGGTCTCGAATTACACCTCTGTTTCATAATTATTTTGAGTGGTAAGTTGGGACCAAAATAAAGAAAGAAGTGTTTGATCAAAAGTACAGTTAAGGACAAAAGCTTACGTTAGTTAAAGCCCGTGTACGGCGACACTAAGACGTTAATGTATTAGTGTCGCCGCATACGGGCCACACGCCACAGCCACAAACGCCGCCACGAGAAGCTAGAAGCGGCTACTAAAGTGACTGAAGCGCGCGACAGCGGCCGCAAGGGAGAGAGGGGTGGGGAACCGCGCGAGTGACGTGTGGCGGTGTTTTGTATCGGCGTATTATGTGGCCGGTGCGGGCCACAAGAAGCGAGCAACGACGATTTGTAGCGTGTGGCGGCCACCGGCGTACCGTGTGTGGCGAGTCCATATAAAATGTATGAAAACTACAAGAAATATGCCGGTGGCGCCGTTTTGTGGTTGTGGTCGGTGGCACGTGTGCGGCGACACGTAATATTCGGGGTGATGACAACAGCATTCCTAAGGGATTCTCTAAATCTAAAGATAACTAAGACGAGGTCGCGGGCGGCTGCTAGTAACGCATAGTTTATTAAGAAGCACAAATGTATATTTCAAGTTATTGATTTCGGTCAACATTCAGTTTTCATAGCCGCCGATGTCAATTCCCTTATAAATAATGCATAGCACTTTGCATGTCGCCTTTATACGTGCTCGTACTATCGGACCCAGTCGTCGACGGCTATTTCAAATTTAAACACAGAAATTATAAAAGATAGTATCAAATTACCTTGTTTATTACCTGTACAAAGGCTATTTTCCATACACGAGCCTACATCACTGTATGATTCAACAAGCGTGGATATATTAATGTTACATCTGAAAAAATAATTACTTATTTAATTTATCGTAAAACAAAAATAAATAAATATATACTAGAACAATAAACCTAAAACTAAAAACCTTAAAAAATGAAATAAAGTAACTAAAATACATTATTAAAAGAAGTCCCTTTTGGCAAGGTTCCGAAGATACTGGCAGCGTTCCCCCTTTGGATAGCTTGATTATTCTTTGTCCGAGGTAGCTGCCAGCTCTTTGGTCTCCTGTGATGTCGACTAACCTTTTTGCTATATCCTTAAAAATCCTTATAGCGCTAGGACCCCACGGACCAAGGGTCTCGACACCGAATGGGACAAAATCATATTCGGAGCCTAGACCCCTATTATTTGCATGCTTTAGCTCTGTTGTTGGTTCCATGTAGATGGGAAGGGGCCAGCGTGTCTGAACAGGTTGCATCCCATACTAGCACCCGGCCCATCTTCCATGGAATCAAACTCATACCGTCCGGTCTCTTGCCATCGTCTCTTGCGATACCAGTCGACTCAAGTAGACTTGGCATGTTGACGGCGGCAAGGGACCGGCGTATGAAAAAAAAACTGAAATTGCTAGTCAATAAATATAAAAAAATGTATGCACGTGAAACTTCTCTTCTTTAATAACCTAACATTAGGCGGTGCATAAGCCATAGGGGAATGGAGCAATGCACGCATCACTCATATATATATATATATTGTCGCGTGTGACGCTCATAGCGTTTCAGCCTTCGCCGAGTTACCCTCCAATTTTCAAGCTCGTCGGGAAGAGCTGCGCACGCATCCCATCCTGTGACGCTCGTGACGCATTCCCATTTTATCTTTTCCATGGGAATTTTCATTTTAATTCCCAATACATATACAAACAACAATTATATAGTACTGAACATGTACTAAGCTACAATCTGAGCTCGATGGCGCATTTGGCCTAAGATTGTGGAATGTAAACAAATTTTAAATTTGGTCATCCACTGGATGGGTGACCAAAATCTTATTAAATCGAGTTTCTCGATGCTTCCTTCCGTTAGCTCCGTTCCGTTGGCGGTAAGCCGTTGGTCCCTGCTGCATCTGCAGTCGTTAGCACCAACCAATCCGCGCGGGGCCCGCGTGGTGGGTCACGGCCCAATCTCCGTCCATAGGGAAGGCCTGTGCCTTAGCAGTGAGGAAATTAATAGGCTGATGATAATATAAAATGACGTAAATAAGAAGTCAACCCTTTTTGTAACCTAACTGCATAGGTTTTGGGTTCTTATGTTTTAACAGCTTACACATCCTTCAATGGCAGTCGGAGATCCTATATAGAATGTATTGTTCCATTCTATGAACGAGCTTTGCCAAAGCTGTATATCCTTTTTATTGCAGACCAAAATATATAAACAAATTGTAACGTACCATGTGATGTTTTATTGGCCCACTGCGTTATATTCCCACTGCTAGAGCAAATCAAAGTTGCTTAACTTTCATAATGTTTAAGGCCCACCTATCGACACGTTATTATCAGTCAATAATAACGGATGTGTTACTGCGATATCTGTTTTAAGGACATTATGTATTAAACCGGGTCTCCAGCAAAACTTTTTTGTAAACATTCAACAAAAACACATAGGTATACAAAACTTTGTTTCTGTAACATGTTTCTCTATACACACCGTCTTCTACTACCGCGTATTTTGTGTGCAGCAAATGTCAAATTAAACAAAAGTTTCGTACATTTTAATGTCAAAATTGAACCGTCAGAATGAAAAGTTGTACTCGGTGCATAGGTTTGGAACGGACCCGCCGCGCCGCTAGCGAGTTGTCAAAAAAATTACATGAAACATGATCCTGCCTCTCGACCCGCGCGGGGGGATTTGTGTACATGTTTTCCATCGGGCTCGCAAAGGAAAAACATTGTTGATTCAAACAAATATTGGTAGTGTAGTGAAACCAAATTGAGTGTAGACGACGATTTTGTTTGTTGAATGTTGATATCTTTTTGTTGATTGTGTAGGGCAAAACACGTGTTGGAGACCCGGTTTAAGGTCAGCCACAAAGCTACACACTGCTGCAATAATAACGACGCAATATAAATATGACAAAATACCGCAATAACGCATCCGATTTACCGATACTAACGCGCTTATATGCATATTATATACAGACGGGCGCCTACATACATCACACTAATATTATATGTGTAAAGGCCAAAGTTTGTGAGTGTGTATGTTTGTTACTTCTACAAGTCTAACCGGCTGGAGCGATTTAAATAAAATTTGGTATGGAGTTAGCTGACACCCTCCATTAACACATAGGCTATGTTTTACTACGGAAAAATATCACTAATAAACCGCGGGAAACACCGCGGGGCACAGCTAGTATATATATATATATGTATAGGTATAATTTGAGGAGCTCGATGGCGCAAGTGGTTAGCGCGTTCGGCTGCGTTCGTTGAAGTTAAGCAACTTTCGCAGTGGTCGGTCATTGGATGGGTGACCAAAAATTTACTATCTCGAGCTCGTCCGTGCTTCGGAAGGCACGTTAAGCCGTTGGTCCCGGCTGCATCTGCAGTCGTTAGCACCCACCAATCCGCACTGGGCCCGCGTGGTGGGTCACGGCCCAATCTCCCTATTCCATCCATAGGGAAGGCCTGTGCCCCAGCAGTGGGGACATTAATAGGCTGATGATGATGATGATGATAGGTATATACGTGAGTATTTAACCGACCATACTATCCGTAAAAAGAATGCTCTACCCGCTCACGTGTTCCCTTCCTCTTACAACCTGCGATCCTTTAAAAGAGGCGTGAAGAAGCAACATGCTGGCCGACAGGGTGAAGATGGCTGGTGTGGCAGGTAGAACTGCTGTATTAGCTATCTTCGCGTCTGGACTTCACCTTCACTTAACATCAGGTGGGGTGGAGTCATTTGTCGGACCTATCTATAAAAAAAACCACTGCACCATATAGTTAACAGAATTGCTGTTAATAAAATTTTCTTTACTCTTTTTAAAGGAAATGAACAAATGTTCCGACCATGAATGAAAGCTCCCATTTGCAAAGTATGCTATAAAATGGCGGCAGGCAGGAGGTAAGTAAGGCTCGGAAAAATTATTTCTGCAGTCACGCAGAAAATTGCGGCTCTCCGAAACGAGAACGCTGTTGTTACATCATTATCGGGCAATAACGTTGAGCTTATTAATAAGATTATGAAAAAAAAACGCGCTTGTAGTTGAGAAAGTAGACAGTTGAAAGATTTTATGAGAGGTAGGTTATTTTTATCTAGTGGATTACCCGGTTCTGACGGCTATCTGAAGAATTAATTAATTGAAGACTACGTTAACTTCCATCTTAAAAAAGTCCGTACTCAAATTAACCACCTTTTGGTGGTGTAATGTTCTGTTAGCTAAGTCCCAGGGCTCCACGGAGTCCCGTGGCAGTGTGGCTGGGTCTGCTATGGGCGCGTCCTCTCGGGTGGCGGATGAGGGGCACCGGCTTCGGCCGGCGTGGACCATACCCAGCTGTGGAGACCTGGCTGGCGTCCTGGGTATCCCGGGTAGCGGCAGTCGGGTCAAACTCGTAACCCTGCAAATAGTGCGGGGCCGAGGGCCGCCGTCTGCAAAGGAACTGTTTCCTTTGGAGGCGGGGGCTGCGAGGAAGACAACCTCTCTAAAAAATTACCCGGTGGTGGTCTCGGCTGGCAGCCTGGGTATCCTGGGTAGCGGCAGTCGAGTCAATCTTATCTCGTAACCCTGCACATAGTGCGGGGCCGAGGGCCGCCGTCTGCAAAGGAACTGTTTCCTTTGGTGGCGGGGGCTGCGAGGAAGACAACCTCACCCGAGGGGTCTCTCGGCCGGCGCCCTGGGTAGCCCGGGTAGCGGTGGTCGAGACTCGATAGGTCGAGGCGGAAACGCCTTTGGTGAGGGCGGTTGCGGCGCGAACTCCGCGTCGCTTCCGGCCAACCCGTAACCCCACACGTGGTGTGGGGCCGGGGACCGCCGTCCTTCGGGACGGGGGCTGCAAGGAAGAAAACCTTTTAAAAAAATTACCGATGAGGCCAGGTAGGGTTCCCTCGCCCGGAAGAGGGAAAACCTTCATGATAATGTCGAACTTTTCTTTGTGTATGTCATGCGCTCCCGTTGACGCCGGGCGCTCTGGGGTAGCTGGGCCCCAGGGTGAGAAGTTTGTAACTAGCGGCCAATGCGCTCCGGCTGGCCACCGGCGCTGCGGGATTACCGGGTCCCGCAGTGGTAAATTAGTTACCGAGGCGTTATGTGGAGTCCTTAGGCTCCGAGGCGGAGCGGACGAGGGCGGAGAGGTAGCACCCCTCCCCGCCAAGGTGAACACGGCCCGTAGGGGCAAGAGGAAAGCGGCGGCATCATCTAGGCCGAATTCCAATGATGAGGCGAAACCTTCGTCCATAGACGAGGAGGAGATGGAGGGCGTTCGCTATTGGCAGGAAGTCAGCAAATCCACCCGGGATGGGTTGGACAGGCTGTCCGATAAAGTCTGCGGTGCCGCGGACTTGTTGGGGGAGCGGAACAAGCGAGGTATGCTGTCCGTAATCGTGGAGTTGGCCGACCGGATTGAGCCTGCATTCGGGAGAGCCGAGGCGGAAAGTTCCCTCGCGTGGACAGCCCGCCGGTACCGCGAGGAAAGGACGCTCTACCGGGAGAGGATGGAGGACGCGGCTGCCGAAGCGGTGGAGCTCCGAATGGAGAAAGCCGCCCTAGCAAAGGAGGTGGAGGTGCTGCGCGGGGAGATGCGGGCCCTCCACGACAGGATGAACGCGGGCACAACTAGCGGATCGGGGTAGAAGGAGGCCGTCGAGAAGCTGAAGCGCTCCCTAATGCTAAGCATAGGGGAGATGGTCAGCACTCGGCTGGCCTCTCTGGAGGAAAGACTGCCACCGCCGGTGGATCGTAGTGGGACGGAGGCGGCAGCAACGGCGAAGGCGCAGCAGTGGAGCGTGGTAGCTGTGAGGCCGAAGAAGCCGAAGAGCATGGTTACTGTAGCCAGCCCGGCGCAAATGGGCGAGGCTGCCAAGCGAGGCCGGGCGCCTGCTGGGAGTGGGAGTGGCCCGGCTCCAAAAAAGGGGGCCGGAGGGCCAAAAATTAAGGTGCCCAACACAGCGGCGGTCGAGGTGCGGCTGAAGCCTAGGGCGGAGGAGCTAGGCCTCACCCACGCCAAAGTTGTGGAGATGGCGCGGGCGGCCATTGAATTGCCGTCCGTGGGTATAGAGGAGGGCCTGGTCATAAAGACCAGCCAAACTGGGTCCAGGCTACTAGTAGTCTCGGGCCCAGATAACAGATCCAAGGCAGACGCCCTAGCCAAAAGGATGGGTGACGTAGTGGGCTCCTACGTGGAGGTTGGCAGGCCCGAAAAAACTGAGGAGTTAAGGGTGACTGGACTAGACGAGTCCATCACCCGGGAGGAGGTCGTGGAGGCGGTAGCCAAGAAGAGGGGCTGCCCCACCAGTGAGGTGACTGCCGGGGCATTGCAACCGGGACAGGCATGGGGATGACACTGGTTCGTTGTCCTACATGGGCCTCCAAAAAAGTGGCGGAAGGGGCGACACTGAAGGTGGGCTGGAGCCTGGGACAGGTGAAGGTACTCGGCCGGCGCATGCATTGTTTTAAATGCATGGAGAGGGGACACGTGGCTACGAGATGCCCGGCCAAAGAAGACAGGAGCGCACTATGCTTCAGGTGCGGAACGGCGGGGCACAAGGCGGCGACGTGCGCCGCCCCGCCCCGATGCAGGGTGTGCGAGGCGAGTGGTCGACCGGCCGATCACATAATGGGGAGTGGGAGATGTGACCCGCCCGTCACAAAAGGGAAGCCTCCCGAAAGACTGACCTCTGAGGCGACACCCGTACGGGTGCCCTCAGAGGGGGGGATGTCCGAGTAGCCTCGGCCGCTCGGACCCCCCGCGGATGGTGTCGCCTGCTCTTCCCCCGTCTTCTCCTAGGAGAAGATCCGGGGAGACGTAGGCGACCGGGAGGGGGGAGAGGGACGGGAAGAACTACGCTTCCCCTCCCGGTCCTCCCTTCCAGGAACGGCGGCCCTCCTCATGTGGTGCTGTCTGCAAGGGGAGGGTGGCGGAGGGCTTTAGCCTTCCGCAGCGGATGGGAGGCGGTGGGCAGTAGGCCGCGTACTCAGCCCCCACGCGCGGGCCTACCTGCGCACGTCTGCGGGGTCCCAGAAATACCGCGGGAGACCCCTGCCGTGAAGCCCCGGCGAGGCCGGGAAGCTGCTGGGGGCGAAGCCCTGGTAGACTCCCTAAACGGGGACCCCGCGGCTTTGCGCTAAGCAGTGTAGAGGTATTCGCAAGACTTTTTTAGCGGATATTATACCGTAAAGCGCCCGTAAGAGTTGCGGGTTCCTCGGTGGGTAGCCACTAGGGGGTCCGTAAGACTTTCGGGAGCCAGGTGTGAGGTCCGTTCGGCGGAGTGCCTCTTACAGGCGCCGTCGTCTATAAAAAGATTTTTTACCTGCGTTAAAAAAAAAAGGGCTCCACGGAGTTGCCCTGACGGCGCCCGTCCCATGACCCTACCCTACATGTCCCGGGGGGCGGTACGGTGGGCAATAGGCCGCGTACTCGGCCCCCACGCGCGCAATACCTTGAAAGACCCCTGCCGTGGAGCCCGGGCTGCGCCGGGAGGCTGCTGGGTGCGGAGACGCGGTAGAATCCCTAAATGGGGTTCCCGTGGTTTCGCACTTAGCAGCTTAGAGGGTATTCGCAGAGTTTTTAGAGGATATTATGCCGTAAAGCCCTCTTAAAAGTTACTGGGTCCTCAGTGGGCAGCCACAGCAGGGGCTTGTAAGGCTTGTGGGAGCCAGATGTGAGGTTCGGTGGTGTGCCTCTTAAAAGCGCCGTAGTCTGTAAATAGAGGTTTTGCCTGCGTCACAAAAAAAGGGTGCTCCACAGAGTTGAAGATTGGGTACACGCCAGTTATGTGAGAATAGTTTGAGCGGCACACTTCTCTGCAGGATTATTTGCGACTAAACTTCACTTACACTTATTAACGGGTTGTATAAAAACAAATTTTAGTTCACTTGCTGCTTCTCTACTTCTTCGTTGCGCTCAAAATAACTTATCCCATACAAATTTTCCTCCCTTTATCTCATCCCCTTTTCAGGACAAAAGGACTCCGATGCCTTTCTTGAAGCCTCAACTTGTCTCCATACCAAAATTATTAATTACCTATATTATCTTATAAATATATTATTATTGGAATTAAAGAGAAAACTTCAAGAGAAAATAAATTTAGGGAAATCTGATGGATAAATATACAGTCGTGTTATGAAACAAGTTCAAAGTGAGTGATGTGTACAAAACAAAAAACAATATGACTATTTGTCAAGAGAAAAATATAAATAATATGAAAAACCTCGTCTAACAATTATAGTATTATTAACCGAAAAATTGGAAATTAATAGACAGGCAGACAGTTTCTTTTGACTTTTACATGCAATGATTTTAAGCGGAGTTAATTATATAAAATGAAACGAAAGTAAAACCCAACCCAACACATTTTACTGAATGAACAAAATAAATCTTTAATATGTAACCACAATAATCCAGGTTAAACTTCTCAAGATTTATTACTTATCATGATCCATAAGCTTCAAAATGATTGACACATTGTAATTAGGTATTAATGTAAGTATACTTAGTAAATAAGGTAAAGAGAAAAAGATGTGGTTTGATGACACAATGCAAGTGAAAATTTTAAAATCTTAAATAAAAATTATACGTTTAAAAAAACTAAAAACACGCTTTTATTTACTGCACTAAAAATCCACAAATAAACAAAATATACTCTCTGTTTACTTCATTATAGTCCAGTCACTTTAGGGAAAAAAGGGGTCAATCTCGGAATTTGAGATAATAAGCTGGAAACTCGTGGAAAGCTTAATTTTAGGCGTTCTAAAAGTTGTATCAAAAGCCTCATTATCTCGTGTCTGCGTCGTAAGTTATTCGAGTAAATTATAGGTCAAGAAAATCGTTTTTTTGTAATTATCTCCGTTTTTTAGGTTCCAGTCACTTCAAAGCCTGCCCCCCTAGCATAAGCACCGCGATATAATCTATAGCAAGTTTTTATCATGCTCAATTGTCAAATTACTATGAAGTTTGACAGTCAGACACGATAAAAAACATGATAAAATGTATTATGTAGTGGTCATGCTACAGGGACTGGTGGTTGGTGTGGTAGTTTATAACTGCTGTACCAGCTATCTTCGCGTTTGGACTTTACACTACTTAACATCAGGTGGGGTAGAGTCATTGCCTACCTGGCTAAATAAAAAAAAATATACCTACTATCTTTAAATTTATTTTCTATTTTGACCTCTTCCATTTTATGTAGGATTTTATACAGAAAAACTTACACCAATTCGGAAGTGTAGAGATTACTCATAGGCAAGTTGGCGTATAAAAACATGTAGTTGGCCCCACGGAGTTACAGCCACGTGACCGTATTATATTCTGTGGCAGACGATCCGTTTTCTTGGAAAAACTTTTTCCAGTGTCTCCGCCTATAATTTAATTTAGTGTTATTTGGCGTTTGCCGAATAAGGACCGATTTATTAAGATACGTATCCTCAACGCTAAATAAAATCGCAATCTTCCGTATAGGCACTACTTACGCAGTAGGACGCAGAATTACCTCGGTCTACTAAATAAAAAAAAACTTTTACGCAATCCATTCTCATCTAAAAAACTTCTTTGAAGGAATTTAATTTCGATGCCCGAAACCCTACAGAATATCCAAATACGCAGTAAACTTTATGGCTGTTCCGAAATTACACTTTGTGTTTAAAGTAATAAAGATTAATTCTGGTTTGTCGGGTGCCACCTGAAATGTGTTGTCGATTGTAGGTCGCGGAATGTCAGGGCAGGGGTCAATGCCCTCTTCCCCGTCTCCGGTTCGATCGGGAGGGAAGCCCGGGAGTGCACTAGCGAAGCGAGTAGCGAGAGACGCTATACGGAATGCTATAGTTCAGCTGATAAAATCAAAATCCTGATTAAACCTCCTTGACAGGAATTTAAAAAAACAAGATTTTTATAACCACATGCACCGACATTCTTATTTCAAATTAAGAAATGAATGTTTAGACCAATGCCATAATAGAGTTTTCTAAAACATGGAAGATTTCCAGAAAAATACTCAACTTAAAAATTGACACTGGTGTCGATTCCGGCATGATTCTCTAAAGCTAAACTTAAATTTGACAACAGTGTATCCTTGTCATTCTCTATATAGAATAAAAAGGACAGACTGATATTAAATTTAGTTTTAAGTTCAGAGAATGCTGCCAGAATCGACACCATTGTGTTTTCAATAACTTTAAAATCGCTCAATACCTCTTCGCTCGTCACAGTAATCTGATCACAAAATATTTGCTCAACTTGTTAATGTTTAATTTATTTTAATGGGTAAAGTATTAAAATGTTTTAATAAGAGAACTAAAGAAGAAGTCTAATACACAAAGACTATTTTCATCCTGAGATTACCATCATTATCATTATTATTATTATCATTTTTTATTACCTATGTAAAAGTTTTGCTTTGTGGATTTGTTTTGAATACACTTATTATTATATATACGTATTTTGAATATACTTATATTTTATAATATTATTAGCTAACCCAGCAAAATTAGTACCACATAACAGTCGATCAAAGAGGAATGTCTTTTTATTTAAATACTACTATTGAAATAAAACAAATAGAAAAGTTTAATAGTTTATTAAAATAATAGATATTAAAAAAAGAAAATGAGAATTCAATAACCTATACTTCAACTTGTTGCGAAATTCTAACGGTAGACTTATACAGGGTGCCGCAAAAAACAATCACGCTATACGCTATCGGAATAATTGCAAATAGCGTCGTATGGACGAAATTTTAAGCGGCATCTAGCGTCCTCTGTCCTCGCACAAACATGAATTTGTGAAATCTATGTTTTTGGAAACTTAAAACCAACTGGAGTAAAATGTAATAATAATTATAATGTTTAACGAGAGACCGACAAATTTATTATTATTGAATGAACCAAATAAAAAGGTATGGATTGTAATTTCTTTAAATTCATTAAAATACAATTATTGGAATGCCCTGAAACAAACGTAATAAAACTGAAATGTAAATACGAAATATAATTTGCATATTAATTTAGACTATGTATGGAATATTTTAACAATGTATTATCTATCCTAATCATAATTAGTTTTGGTCTAAATCCTACTAATCTTCTAAGCTTCGTATATTTCGACATGCATGATACTGATTTTGACTGGATTAAGGGATAATTTGAGCAGCCACAAAGAACTGGGTAATTTGCTGGTGTGGGTGGTCTAACGTGCATATAAAATGAAATGAATCAGCTAGTGTTGCGAAAGAGTATTATCATATTACTCTTTCTCAACATTTGCATTAACATTAAAGCAATTTACGTATATATTTTTATACGTTAAAAGGGTGTCAAACACAAGCTACGTGTTTTGTCCTTTTTTTGA